TTAAGGTTTTTATTTATTTATTTATGGGAACTAAGTTAAGTTCCAATAATTTTACCAATCAAATTCTTATAGTCCCAATCATCCTTAAGAGCATGTCTCCTAACCTTAAAAAACTGCACTAAACATTTCTTGTTTTAAACTTCAGTGCGTCTACTTCTCAAGCTTAGCCTTTAGCAGTTATTAGGAGAGTGAATAGCCTTTTTCCTTTTTAAGGATAGTCAAGTGTTTTTGTGCTACACTTATAAATCAATATTTATTTCTCTCAATGTCATGAATTTTTTTTTTTTTGAATAATTTGTAATTCAATGTCATGAAATTTTAATAACACATCACACATATATATACATAAAAAAAAATTGAGTGTCCTTCACTTTAAATTTGAAATTATTGAATTAAAAACTAAACTTATAATATAATATTTATTTATTAATAAATTTAATTTTTTCAAGCGATATTTCCGTTCCTTTTCCCAGCCTCTTCTCTCTCTCTCTTTTCTTTATATCCCTTCTTCATCCCCCCTTTTCTTCGTTTCCTCCTTTTGTTGCTATTTTTTTATTCCTTCTTTATTTGATTTGGAAAGACAATAGAGAAGACGGAAATATATAATTTTTTTTTTAGTGAGTGATGATGTAGTTGGCAATGATTTCGCATCCAACTTTCTCGATTATAATTTAATCTCTTATAACCGGATTTAGATCCAATGGTTTGAATTCAAACTTTAAGTACTTAGGTAAGCTGGTTGAAGTTTTGAGTTTTACTATCGTCGTGAACTTTATCAAATATGATCCAATAATTGCGCATCTCATTTAAGGGGTGGAATATTCACTCAGTCTGGGGATTGAATCCCCATATGCTAACAACTAATTCAAACTAATTTCTTAACTATTATATTTGTTTAAAAAAAATCAATATCTTAAAGAGACTAACAAAAAAAATTATAGATTTTTTTTTAAATTTTTTTAATTTTAACGTAAATAAAATTAGACATTTAGGACAATTCTAGAGCTCAATAAGTTGAGTGAAAGATGTCAACGTAGATCTATTTGTGGATGTATGCATTAAATATATTATCTTCTTCTGA